AGTTCTTCTCTCTTTGCCTTTCATGACATTGCCATTTTGGGTTTTCTGATGTTTCCTCACAGTTGGATTTAGGTTAAGAGTTTTTGCAGGAATACTACAAAAGTACAGCAGTTTTCTTCCTACTGTATCACATGGGAATACACTTGATCTTCGTTAGTCTCATCATTGGTGTTATTAGCTATGATTACTTGGTTAAGGTGATACTCCAAGTGTCTGTATTTTAAAAGTGCTCTTTTCCTCCTTGTAATTAATAAGTAATTTTTGGGCATAGATTTGAAACTATGGATATTTTCCACATGAGTTTTAGCTTACATAGATTCTTGCCTGGTTGATTTATTATTATGATGGTTGCCGTAAATGCTGATTTTTTGAACTTCATCATTCCTTCTATGTTTATTAGTTTGTATTCTCCTCTAAGGAGTAGTAAAATATACTGTTAGTAATAGAATTTATCATTCCCATAGATTTTTTTTTTTTTTTTTAAATTGTGATTTGGGTGAGAATTTACAGAACAAACTCACTTTCTCATAGATTGTTAATTTATTCAGTGGGTTATAATCTGTTACTATTTAATTTTATGTGCAAATTGACCTGGTTTGGCTAGTGGGAACCTCTTTTGGATGGTTTCTGAATCCTTTTCTAAAAATCAACTTTATTGAAATGTAATTTACATACATTAAAATGCACTCATAATTACTACCTTCACCCCCAACCCTTAACCTGCTTTCTGTTACCGTAAGTTAGGTTTGATTTTCGTAGAATTTCACATATTGAAACTATATAATGTGAATAAAGTATATCATATATCTCTTAGGGAGCTCTGGTAGCATAGTGGCTAAGACCCTTGCCTGCTAACCAGATGGCTGGCGGTTCAAACCCACCATCCACTCCTCGGAAGGAAGGTTGGGCAATCCTACTTCCGTAGTGATACTGCCTCGGAAACCCAAGGAGGGGTCGCTATGAGTCGGGTTTGACTCGACAGCACATAACAACAACAACAACAATATATCCTCTTCTGTCTTTTTGCTCCGCATGTTTTTCAGTCATCCATCCATAGTTTTCCATGTACTAGTAGTTTCTTTGATTGCCAAATAATATCCTATTGAATTAATATGTTGTTTTTGTTCTGTGTTACCAGGTTGATTCATGCTCACAGTGACCCTATAGGACAAAGTACAAATACCCAGTAAGATTTCCAAGGATGTATTCTTTATAGAAGCAGATTGCTACATCTTTCTCCTGTAGAGTGGCTGGTGGGTTTGGATCACCAACCTTTCTGTTAGCAGCTAGATGCTTAACATACTGCTCTCCTAGGGTTCCTTATTGAAGGAATATATATATTCCTTATCCATTTCACCTGTCAGTACTCATTTGGCTTCTTTCCTTTTTTTGGCTGTTGTGAACAATGAACTTCTGTGTGGGCATATGTTTTAGTTTCTCAGGTAAATACATAGAAGGAGAATATTCTGGTATGGATGATTAAGAGTGGTGGTATGAGTTATTTTGGTAATATTTATACTCAACTTTGTAAGAAAGTGCCAAACTATTTTCCAAATTGGCTGTACCACTTTCATTGTCACCAGCAGTGTTTATTGTTTAATTTGCCATGTATTTTTCCCAACAGTTGGGTATTTTCAGTCTTTAATTTTAGCTTTTCTAGTTGTGGTAGTTCATTGTTGCTTTAAACTTCATTTTAGCTATACTTCTCCTTTTTTCCTGCCTCTTGCTCGTCTTTCTTTCCTTTCCTAAGAACTGGGCCACATGTAGATTTTCCTGTATTTTGGATTTGGCTGATTGCTTTGCCATGTTGTTGTTGTGAGGTGCCATCAAGTTGTCTCAGACTCATAGCAACTAATATACAACAGAATGAAACAGTGCCTGGTCCTGTGGCAGCCTCATGATCCTTACCATACTTGAGCCCATGGCTGTCATTCATCTTGTTGAGGGCCTTTTTCGTTACCCTCCACTTTACCATGCATGATATCTCCAGAGAATGTTCCCTTCTGAAAACATGACTAAAGTAGGTCATATGAAGTCTGGTCGTTCTCACTTCCAAGGAGCATTCTGGCTGTACTTCTGCTAGGACAAATTTGTGAATTCTTCTGTCAGTCTGTGGTACTTTCAGTATTCTTCACCAACACCACAACTCAAGAGCATCAACTCTTCTTCAGTCTTTGCTTTGCAATGTTGTTGTTATGTGCCGTCGAGTCAGACCTGACTCCTAGTGACCCCTCCTTGGGTTTCCGAGGCAGTATCTCTATGGAAGTAGATTGCCCAACCTTCCTTCCGAGGCGTGGCTGGTGGGTTTGAACCACCAGCTTTCTGGTTAGCAGTCAAGTGCCTTAGGCACTATGCTACCAGAGCTCCTAGTGTTGTTTAGTATCTTCTTTCTGTGTGTTTAATATCTTCTTTTTATGTGTTTAGTTTTTGATAATAAATTAGAAATTTCTAAATGGTAATAATATGTTTATTAAATTTTCTTAGTTCTTCTTATCCATTCACAGAACAGCAGGCCTTAAAAATGATCAGACTTAAAAGATTGCAACAGAAAATTGTAAAACCAAATGCTCAGCTTGTTGTTTACACATAACATATAGTGTTGTTTAATATTTTCTGTATATTGGGCAATCTGCTTCTGTAAAGATATCACCTTAGAAGGTGTTGCTCTGAATCGAATCAACTCGATGGCAGTGAGGTGTGTCCCCCTCCTCCCCATATAGTTGGTAATAAGAGAAAGAGATTTGATTAGGTGGTTAAGATTCTTGTTTTTGCTTGTGTATTTTCTACTGTATCACAGAAATAAAATGTCTGATTGTTTCTCAGTTGTGTTGAAGGTTCAGCTGGCTCAGGTGGTAATATGATCCATCCATCATATTGAGTCTCATCAATCTTTAACTTGATGGCTTTGTTTTCATTAAACAGTTATTCCTCAAATACATTATTTCAAGAACGTTTTCTCAGGTTTCAGAAGCAGAGGATTTGTTATGTGTAAATAATAGGCTGAGCATTTCCTTTTTTATTTTCTTTGTAGATTTTTTAAATATTCTTAAATCAACCCTAGGTTGAAAATGATATTAATTTGTTTTCTAAAAAAATTTTATTGTGATTTGGGTGAAAGTTTACAGAGCAAATTCATCTTCCATACATGAGTTCATGTACACTTTGTCTTGACATGGACTGCAATCTCCCACAGTGTAACAGCTCTCCTCCCACTTCCTTCCCATGGCCACTTCTTCCTTATGCTAAGCATTTCCTTTTATAGTTTTCTGTTGAAATCTTTTAAGTCTGAACATTTATAAGGGATGTTGTTCTGTGAATGGATAAGAAGAACCAAGAAAATTTTATTATAAATATATTTCCATTTAAAAATTTCTAACTTATTTTGAAAAACTTAATTAAACATAAAAAAATTGAAAGAATTGTACAGTGTACACTTGTCTAGTGACCATCTAAATTTTGTAATTTTACTATATTTAACTCACCCATTCATCCATATACTGAATCATTTGAAAGTAATTTGCAGATACTTATGCATTGTTATTTTAAGAAAAATGTCATCTAACAAATTCCCTAATCCCATCTAAAATCTAGTCAGTAGTTACAATCTCTATTATCTATAAAATAATAGACAAAAATAATTAAAGATTTTTCTTGACTTCTTAGCAATTGATTTTTGAATTTTAAAATAATAAAACTTGTCCATAGGCAAAACTCAAACCAAACCCATTGCCACTGAATCAATTCTGATTTACTGAACCCTGTAGGATAGAGTTATACTCCCCCATAGGATTTTCAAGGCTATAATCTTTAAGGAAGCAGACTGACACTTCTTTATCCTGTGGTGTGGCTGATGGGTTTGAACAGCCACCGGATCTTTGGGTTAGTAGCTGAGTGCTTAACCTGTGTGCCATCAGGGATTGTTTCACTTTCATTGTTGTTGTTGTTGTTATGTGCCGTCGAGTCAGCCCTGACTCATAGCGACCCCTCCTTGGGTTTCCGAGGCAGTATCACTACGGAAGTAGGATTGCCCAACCTTCCTTCCGAGGAGTGGCTGGTGGGTTTGAACTGCCAGCCTTCTGGTTAGCAGTCAGGTGCCTTAGCCACTATGCTACCAGAGCTCCCTTTCATTAGCAGTGCATAAATTTGATGTTATTGGGCTTTAAAATGTGGGCCAGACTGGGATATGTGAAGTAGTCTTTGTTTCAATTTCCATGTCTCGATTTTCTATTCTATTTGTTTCTTGGTTGCTGTTTTTATATTTATTGGCCATTTGCATGTCCTTGTTTGCCCTGTCTTTTATACATTTTTTTCCCATTGAGTTGTTTTGTGTGTATGTGCATGCTTGTGTTGTGCATAAGAGAAAAATATGAATTCTACATATAATTCCTGTATTGTTCTGAAGACAATCATTTCCATGTTTGTTGTTTGTCTTTTCATTTCTTTTTTTCTTTAAAAGGAGCTTCTTTTAAATAGAAACATCCTTTCCTTAAACATTTTGTGAAAATAAGTAAATTTCTGGGTGTTTTAAAAGTATAATCTTAGCAAAGGACTTGTTTTTCTATTATGTTATTTTACTTATTAGAATGTCTTTATGTGTCATAACTTTATGGGCCCTCTTTTATGCCAGAGATATTTGATACTTTCCTCTGGGGTTTTTTAAAGGCGCTCTGGTGGCATAGTGCCTAAGGCATTTGACTGCTAACCAGAATATTGACGGTTGAAGCCCACCAGCCACTCTGTGAAAGGAAGACTGAGCAGTCTACTTCATAAAGATTTACCACCTCAGAAACCCAGTGGGGGTTGCTCTGAGTCAGAATCGACTCGATGGCAGTGGGTTTGGTTTGTTACGGGGTCTCTCAAGTTTATATACATCTGAAGAATGACTTTGTTGCTGTCAACTAATTACAGATTGGGGGAGTTTGGTACTATGTTTTTTATAAAGATAATCATGTTATTTATAATTGCAAATTAAAATGTATAAATATTTTTTATTTCAAAAGGTTGGAGGCGAGATAGAGAAAAGAGAGATGATCAAGATGACGTGAGAAGTGAGGGTGGCAGTATCCGAGGTTCCTTTAGGGGACGAGGAAGAGGACGAGGACGGGGAAGAGGACGAGGCAGAGGAAATCCTCGATGTATGGCATGATTTTTTTTTTTGTTAAATCAGATGAATTTTGAAAAGAATGTGCAGACTCTGTTAGTTTTACTCACTGTCCTCAAATGTGTTTTGACTTCTAATAAAGATGGTTTTATACTTAATTATTCCTTGAAATATTTCACTCTGGATTTTTATCTGTAGTAACTATTTCTTCCTTTTTTTTTTAATCTGTGATTACTTTCTTTTTCTTTATTTACATCAAGTGAACTTTGATTATTCATATGGTTATCAAGAACAAGGTGAAAGGACGGATCAACCATTTCAAACAGAATTTAATACCAGTATGATGTATTACTATGATGATGGTACAGGTGTACAGGTGTATCCTGTGGAAGAAGCATTGCTTAAAGAGTATATTAAGCGCCAAATGTAAGTTGATATCACATAAACAGATGAAATAGTGGATCTGTTGCAAGATCGATCCTTAATGTTATTGATAGTGAAAACCTTATAACATATTTTCTAATACTATTGATTATTAACAGTTGGAGAATGCTTACAATATTTTGTAGTATATATCTTTCTAGGAAATATCCTAATAGGTATTTTACAAAAAAACGTCAATTTGGTTCATGTTATTTAATAAGTCTCATGCTTTCTCTACTATTCAGGTATTTCTCTGCTTTAAGGACATTATTAAAATGTCCTGGCATAATATGAACAATTAGATATAAGAGTATAAAACTTCTGTATATGTATTTGAAAAGGGCTTATTTGTGAATAGCTTTTTATATTAAAATTTGCAAATGAACACAAATGACAAAAATAATTAAAGATTTTTCTTGACTATTTAGCAATTGATTTTTGAATTTTAAATTTATTTTTATCTTTTAAGTTCTTCTTTGTGACACACATTAGAGGGGGGCTACTTAATCTTATTGAGTTCATGCTTTTTACCCTAGTTCTCACAGTAGTTGCTTTCTGGCTATTGAAGTTGAAGTTAGGAGAATATTGGTTTGTTGTGTTGTCTTTTAAAAAATGCCTCTGCATTTTAATATTGATTAGGATGTTTTGCATATTTATGTAGTAGTGAGAAATATGTTCCCAAAGTGATTTGCATAATGGATTTGCTGAAATTTTAATTTTCCTTTCTATATGCTTTCAAGGTGAAGGAAAATTAATTAGGCTGTTTTTGAAAGTGCATAAACATTTTCTAAACATCTATTTTTATTGTTTAATTTCATTGATAGTGAAAATTTCTTCATCAGCATCAGCTGGGCACTTTTCCTGGGATGCCTTCATGGTGGATTTAATTGGCTTACAATAGGTAGCAACTTGTTTATTTTGTTCTTGCTTCTTTTGTTACAGTTGACGCAAACACTGAAGAAAAGGGCGTTTTTATGGGCAGAAAGTGCCTGGCATGTGGCTATCAACTTCAAACCACTATTCCTGTCTTTTTTGTAATTCTTGCTGCCGGGTCCTTTCTGAGACCTGACAGTGGACATGCAACTCCATGTCAGAATAATCGGCCTCCAATGTGCTCATACAAGTGAGGGAGGAGCAGAGCTACTTCAGTGTTGACAAAATTTCTGATCATGCAGTGTAGAATCCAGAACTTCTAAGGTAGGACATGATAATGTCCCCTCGACACTGAGCAAAATAACAGACATGGCATTGGTCGTGACTCTTTTTATTATTTTAGTGTAGGATGTTAGTAGAATCTAGGTTTAAGTTGGGTCTTTAATGTTACCATTCTTTGATTAGTGGAGATTTGGCTTTTTGGAGTCATGGTTTTGATTTGGTGTAATTGAGGCTTCTCATACTTGGATAAGCTCATTGATTGTTTAGATTTTTCTCTTTGAGAATTCATTGAAAAACTTTTCCTTGCATTTGTTTGTGGAAAGGTGATGCTATGTATATTTTAAAGAGGCTTACAGTTAAAGCAGAACAATAAAAACCCTAACCATTCTGATTAAGTGTATTACTTTAAGTGAAAATTTATATTGTTGTTGTTGTTGTTACGTGCCATCGAGTCATACCCGACTCATTGCGACCCCTTCTTGGGTTGCCGAGGCAGTGTATCACTACGGAAGTAGAGTGTTCCATTTTCCTTCCTCATGAGGAGTGGCCAGCCTTCTGGTTAGCAGTCAAGTGCGTTAGGCACTATGCTACCAGAGCTCCTGAAAATTTATATTAATGTCATTTTTGATGTCAGAACATTAAAAATTTAAAATCTTGATTATTTCTAGCTGAGGAATCATTTTTGGCATTTGATGTAGGGATTAATGTGTTTTCATCATATTAGAAGTTAAATATATATGTTATAGGTAACAGGGTGATTTATGAATTTATCTGTATATATTGTTTTCAGGAAGGTAGTGTATTAAAAGGACTGCTTGTTATTCATAGTTTGCATCTACCTTGTGACTAAGTCAAATGCCTTAATGTCTGAAAATTAGAAGTTAAATTCAACATATGTATTATGTGCCTGGAGTGCAAGTGGTACAAATAAATGACTAAGGACTGGGCTACTAACCAAAAGGGTCGGTGGTTTGAACCCACCTACAGGTACATCAGATGAGAGGCCTGGTGATCTGCTTCCAAAAGGTCACAGCCATGAAAACCCTGTGGAAACAGTTCTACTCTGATACACATGGGGTCACCATAAGTAGGGTGGTTGGTTATTATGTGTCTACCACATGCCATTCCAAAGAAAGGTGATCCCACAGAATGTAGAAATTATAGAACAATATCATTAATATCACATGCAAGTAAGATCTTACTGAAGATAATTCAGAAACGTTTGCAGCAGTATATTGACAGAGAACTTCCAGAGGTTCAAGCCGGATTCAGAAGAGGACGTGGAACAAGGGATATCATAGCTGTTGTCAGATGGGTCTTGGCTCAAGGCAGGGAATACCAGAAAGATGTTTACTTGTGTTTTATTGACTATGCAAAGGCATTTGATTGTGTGGATCATGACAAATTATGGACAACATTGAGAAGAATGGGAATTTCCAAGCACTTGATTGTACTCATGAGGAATCTGTACCTTGACCAGGAGGCTGTCGTTCAAACAGAGCAAGGGGACACTACATGGTTTAAAATCAAGAAGGGAGTGTGTCAGGGTTGTATTCTGTCTCCACACTTATTCAATCTATATGCTGAGCAAATAATCCAAGAAGCTGGACTATATGAAGAAAAACTTGGTATCAGGATTGGAGGAAGAATCATTAACAACCTGAGATATGCAGACGATACAACTTTGCTTGCTGAAAGTGAGGATGACTTAAGGCACCTACTGATGAAGGTTGAAGAATACAGTCTGCAGTATGGATTACATCTCAACATAAAGAAAACAAAAATCCTCAGAACTGGACCAATGAGCAGCATCACAATAAATGGAGAGAAGATTGAGGTTGTCAAGGAATTCACGTTGCTTGGTTCTACAATCGATGCCAATGGAAGCAGCAGTCAGGACATTAGACGACGTGTAGCATTGGGAAAGTCAACTGCGAAGGAACTGTTTCAAGTGCTGAGGAGCAAGGATATCTCCTTGAGGACTAAGGTGCGCCTGACACAAGCCATGATATTTCCAGTCGCCTGGTATGCATGTGAGAGCTGGACAATGAATAAGGAAGACCGAAGAAGAGTTGATGCTTTTGAGTTGTGGTGCTGGCAAAGAATGCTGAAAGTACCATGGACTGCTAAAAGAACTAACAGATCTGTCCTAGAGGAATTGCAGCCAGAGTGCTCCTTGGAAGCAAGAATGGCCAGACTTTGTCTCACCTATTTTGGTCATGTTGTAAGAAGGGACCATTCCCTGGAGAAGGATGTCATGCTTGGTAGGGTGGCGGGTCGACGAAAGAGGGGGAGGCCTTCAACGAGATGGATTGATATGGTGGCTGCGATGATGGGCTCAAGTATAGCAGGGATTGTGGGGTTGGCGCGGGATCGGGCAGTGTTTCATTCTGCTGTGCATGGGGTCGCTATGAGTCGGAAATGACTCGACGGCACTTAACAACAATAACAACAACAACAACCACATGCCAGGTACTCTGGAAAGGGCTTTTGAGGTGTAACAAAAGTCAGAAAGTTCATTTCTTAAAAATATTTTTCTTCTGTGTTTTAGGAAAAGTAAATAATTTACTGATGTTACTAAGAAAGATATCAGCACTACTTTGCTGATGTTGAACATGGTTGTTAAAATTCTCTTGAAAAAGAACATTTAAGGGAACTTTGCACTTTGGTAGCTGGATAAATACCAGACTACAAAGAAACAACGTGGCTATCTTAAGGGTTAGAAGTTTACTTTTTCCCCTTCTCCAATAAAAGGTAGCTCAAAACTAGTTTTCAGTTGCCATGTTTCTTCAGAGTTAGAACTTGACTTAACTATATTACAGATAGGCATCTTTAGTCATGAAGTTTCATACCCATGGACATCACCTGGTTTGCTTTCTCATAACTTGCCTATCTTTGAAAACTTTGTTTTTGATGATGTGAAAACAGTATAGTATTATTAACTATAGGCTTTATGATCAGTGATGTCACATTTCTTACATAGTTTTTTTCTTTCATCTATTCTACCCCATTTATCTTGACCAATCTCTTTAGAATTTTCTGTTTTTCAAATACAGAGTTGTAATTCAAGCAAGTATTTCTCAGGTTATTATTAAAGGTATTCATATTATCTTTGTGTATCTTGAAATTTATAGTTATTGATCATAAAGTTTGTCCATTTGCATTACATTTTGGAGAAAGATTAAGTGGGTCTTTACTTTCTTGGATTAGATAAAATATCTAAACTTTTAAAATCTAAATTTTTCCCCTATGTACTTCAAGGTATTGTTAATAATAGTCCTTGTTTAGCTATACTGTATTTTCTTCGCTCTTTATGTTTATTATAATTATGTCCTTCAAAGAAAAGTGGGGAAAATGAGTCATTTAAATGTAAAATATGTATGTATGTGCCCTTGTGTTCCCTAAGTGTTTGCTGTACAATGTGTTGATTGCTAGGGTTGAGCAGCATAAAACAGTATTACTCTTGTCAGTTTAGAAAATTGTTCTCTGCTGTATGGACAATGTGAACTTGATAAAGGATATTTCTATTATACTTTCCTTCTCAGTGATAAAAAGTTGGAAGTTAATTTGTTGACATGTGTTCAGCTTTTTTGTTTAATGTTTAAATGAAACAAGTAGAATTAATTTTGTAGTGAAATTAACTCATTTAAAAAAATAAACTATTTTAAAGTAAAATTAACTGGTTATTTCATTATACTTAAGCTAATCTAAATAAGTTAATATTAATGTTTCTGGAAGATAATATATTTTCTCTCCACTCTTATGTAAGAGGAATTAGTAATTTAGTAGAGTTGTTTTTCCTGTCACCTCTTATACAATAACTATATTATGTGAAATCTGTGTTATCAACTAGATTAAGCTATTTTTATGGTAGTTTTTGTTTTAAGCAATCAGCATTTCTCTTTCTTCTTTAATGGATGAAACTTACATTTACTTTTTTATTTCTTCAGTGAATATTACTTCAGTATAGAAAATTTGGAGCGGGACTTCTTTCTTAGAAGAAAGATGGATGAACAAGGTTTCTTGCCTATTTCCTTGATTGCTGGTTTTCACCGTGTTCAGGCTCTCACTACAAACCTTAATCTCATTTTAGAGGTAATTATACATTTAATAGCAAACTGTAGTTGGCTAAGGCTCAGACTGCATCTCATGGCTTTTATCCATTTTGTAAAACCCAAATATGTGTCTAACTTTGGAGATTCAAAGAATTGCTAATGAGGTTTCTATTTTTAATCTGATCCTTCAGACTTAAACCTTCAAGGGTATTCTTGGTTCTTTAGTCTTCTTCAGCTTCCTGTGAAATAGCATATAGTCTCATTTATTAAAATTTTGGGGATTTTTCATTTGCTATAGAAAGTCTAATTTAAAGCACTCTTTGCAGTTGTGGTCTTGCTGCTTTTATTAATTGTCTTCCCTTTCTGGCAATTTTGTTTTTCTTTATGTTTCCTACTCCCTATGTTAGTGACAGATCTTAATCACAAAAAGGAAGGGAAGGAGAGGGTTTTTTTTTTTTTTT